CCCTAATTTGTTTCTAACCTCTTTACCTCTCTTAAGTCATCATGTTTACACAAGCTGTTCCTGCCATTTCCCTGTTGTCTAACCCTCCGCTGTTCTTCCTCCTTCTTTTCCCCTCTTTCTTTGTCTTTTTTTTCTGCTGGTAGGAAATCTGCGAGGCTTGCTCATTGGCGCCAGCCTCTGTTAATCCCCTCCCAAAGCACCTTAGCAACGCTAGGAATTTAGAGATGCTAAAAAAAACACACATCGACAACAACTGTTCTTAACACTGGGCTCATATTGGCAAGAGTGGCCACATCTTGAGATGTGTGTGCATGTGTTTTCCATAAGTAGTTCAGAACAATCTGGAAGCGTGTGATAACCAAGGATCTCTCGAGAGTGTGCATTTCTGTGTGTGTGTGTGTGTGTCCCAGTGTGTAGACTAAGAGGAAGTGTATCTTTTTTGTGGTACAGTTTCAATGTAACACCAGCAACCTAGTAATCACTGCATGTAGTCACCTGAGAAGCTCATTATCTAGTCTCTGTACATTTTTTTGTCTTTGTCTGTTCATTGGGTGCATACCTCAACGAGAAGCTAAAGTATGTAGGAAAAAAATAACATTTTATTTTAAACCATGGCATTGAAACAATTTATGTTATCATGGGACCAACTTTGATGTCAGACAAAATTCTTTGATGAAAAAGTAAAGCAACAAAGCAAGGTTACAACAGTTGCAGCAATTACAACGTCAGTTATTTTTTCATTTATCGCCTTTGTGGTTTGTGCACAACAACAAGGATCACCTCTCCACCTCTCCCTTTCTCTGCCCAAAATCAATTACTTAGGGGCAATGGTAAAATAATTGAGGGCACGTTCAGGCCTTGAAATTTAAGGCATAATTTAAATGGTACAACTTTTTTTGCTACTCCTAACTTTGAGGTGTCAACTCTAAAATCAAACGTGGAAAATAAATAAATATATTGTGTTATTCTTAGTATTTTTTTTTGTTCATTTAATGATTTTCTTTTATTCCTCCAGAAAAAATAAATAGGAAAACAAAGTCCTGTGGCTCAATCCAAACTAAAATTTTCATGATATGCACATGCCCACAAGAAAGATTAGAACATAACTACATACTCAAATAACAAACACTTTTTTCTTGCTGACGCTTATTGAAAATATTTTTTGCCACAGGGTTTTTGCTCAAAATAAGATGTCACACTGACTTAAGGTACAGAAAATATTTATTTTTATTTACTGAATGGTTTGTTCATTAAATAATTACCGGTAATTAAAAAAAAGAAAACTACAATAAAAAACACAAATCATAAGTGAAATGAAAGGAAGCAGAAACAAGAACAAAATTCTCATTGTATACATCCCTTTCCCCCAAGCAATAATAATATACAAAAAACAATATCAAGTCCTTCTCAAACAGCAATTTATATAAATACAGACTGTACAATAACAAAAACTAAAACAGAAAATATCACACCTTAAATACTTTTTTTCCATGTGTGATGACTTTATTCATGTTTTCTGATATTCTGGTCAGATATACTGTATCAAGACAAAATTATTTAATACAGATTTATGAAAAACAAAGTGTGTTCATGAAAAACATCTGGGGTCTGGGTGGTATTAAAGCGGTGGATTGGATGTTTTGAAGTGAGTTCCCTGGAAAGGTTGTAAGCAATTAGTGCCTTAACACCTAAACTGCTACAGAAATTTCTTACAATTATTGTAAAAAGATGAAACAATTAAAAAAAATTAAATAGCAGCAGCTAACATTTATCTTAATAGCATGGCAACAAGTATAATGTGCTACTGCACTTGGCTATTTTCTTTAAACACACACTTCAATTGTTCATTTCCCCTCAATTCATCTGGCTCACACCTCTAGGTAAAGGTTTCAGATTTACAGTCAATAACTAACTTCAACACAGATATCAAACCAAACCTAAATGTGTAATGTGACAAATGTAAGTCAACACAACTCATAGATCACAGAAAAAATCATTTATTTTAACTTTTATTGGTAAAATTTGAGAAAATAGATAATGGGAAACTACATCATAGTGCATTGCATGCTGGGTAACAACAAGCCATGTTTTATAATAATGCCAGGAGGCAGAGCTACAGCTGAAAAACAGGAAATGGGGATGTCAGAGGGTAAAAAAGGTATAGAAAAATATCAGTTTAGTGCAAGATAAGTCTGTTACTAGTTTATAAAGTTAATGCAAATGCTAAACTATTCATCCATCATCTATACCCACTTCCTCCTTTCAGGGTCACTGGTGCCCATATCCAACAGTCGCTGTGCAAGGGGTGGGGTTCATTCTGGACAGGTCACAAGTCCATCACAGGGACACATAGAGACAAATGAGACAACACAATTCACTGGCTGTGTCCAAAACGGGAGGTCGGGTCCTCCAAAGGCCGAATTCATTGGCCACTTACGTCACAGCGCTGCGACGGTGGCTGTCAAAAACCGAAGACTCCTCTGATGTGGCTGATAAATGCATCCTTCCTTTGCCCCGAACTGAAGGACTGGTCTGATGGATCCTTCTCAGCCCAGCATATCCCATAATGCATTGCGGCCCGACCGGAGATTTTTTTGTGTTAGTAATGACGGACGAAGTGAGAATAAAGAATACGTTTTAAATAGAAATATGGCGATAAAAAAATTAAAAATTTCAAGCTGTTGTGTTGTTAAAACTTTTGTTATTTGTTTAGACATGTTTTTAAACATTTTTTTACAAAAGTGAAATAAATGCACCTACTGCAGGTCCATTAGTTCTTCAAATATTACCTTTAAGTTAATTTTATTCTTTTGTGATATTAATAATGCTAATATATTGATATTTTCTCAGTTCAATCTAATTTTGCTTCTGTAGCATTGTCATGGTGTTTAGGTGACAGAACGTATGCCGTGGAAGGCTAGGTCTTCCAAATTCACAGCCACTTTTTTCGTTCTTCGTGGTCTATCAATGACCTAGCCTACCTCAACCGAATAGGCTGGGTCCTTTAGAGGACCCGGTCTCCCGTTTTGGACACAGCCACTCTGTCACTCACACCTAGGGACAATTTAGAGTAATCAATTAACCTAACATTCATGGTTTTGGTCTGTGGTAGGAAACTGGAATACCCGGAGAGAACCCATGCATGCCCAGAGAAAACATGCAAACTACCCAAAAGGTCCCCGGGCCATGATTTGATCCAGCGACCTTCTTACTGAGAGGCATCAGCTCTACCAACTGAGCCACTGTGCCACCCTAAAAGAAAAATGCTAAACTACTCATCAAAATATTAGTTTAGCTAATAGCTAATTTAGCAGATGAGCAGAACTGTGCCCACCTCTCCATAACAGAGTTAAAATGTATCCTACCACAACTATGACACTCAGATTTACATGTCAGTGACAGCAGGAGAACATGAACCTGTACTGTAGGTTTATTGTGTCACTGTTTTGAATAGATCAGTGTTTGGATGCAAAACAATTATTGTCTGTGGCCCACAGAAACAGTCAAAGTGTCATTAGTCACCTTGAGTCTCTCTTGATTCTAATAATCAGGTTAGAAATCTTACTTGACTAGCCATGTTCAATCAATAACATCAGCGGCTTTCTACCATCTGACAAACATTGCCATAATCAAAGAAATAGTGTCTAAACTAGACTTAGACAGACTAATCCATGCATTTGTCTCCAGCCGGTTAGACAACTGTAATAGTCTGCTCACTGCTCACTAAACAAGCTGTGAGACCGCTACAGAACATCCAGAATGCTGCTGCTTGAGTTCTCACCAGAATCAAAAAGTATGCTAGTATTCGTCCAGTAATCAGGTCGCTGAACTGGCTTTCTGTTGCTCAGAGAATAGACTTAAAAGTGTAACTTACACCAAAATTAACTTTTTTTAGCTGATAAACTGCCTAGAATGTGTCTAAAATGTTATATAGTACTGTTTCTGTGCTAATTTTGATGTTTTTGTGCGTATTTGTTCAAATCTGTAATATTTGGTCTAAAAACATGTTTTTGCTGCTCATATGGGTAGAGCAGTGGTACTGCAGGCTAATTTGCATATTGGTTAACGGCTCTCCACGGTGACGTGTCTTCTCCGCGGTTTCGTCACAGCGGCTGTGTTCTGGTATATAAACCTCTCTCTAAGACACGCCCCTGCAGCAGTCAGAGGGTGGAACAGTTAGCAAGCTTAGCAT